TCCTCCTTCCTCTGCTTCCCGAGTGCTGGTATCAAAGGTGTGCGCCACTGACGCCCAGCAAAAGTTCCTTTTTAAGTTTTTATTAGTTTATATTAATTATACATACTTGCTTTATTATGACATTTTCAAACATGTATGTAATGTGCTTTAATCCTATTCCTGCTCTCAAGTATTATATTTGAGATGATAGATATGTTAATAAGCTTGATTAAACTCTTCCATGATATCCATAAATCATGACATTACTGTACCCTATAACAATGTATAATTATAAATTACCAATTTATAATAGATAAGAAAATTTTAAATTATTAACATCAGAATTACAACTAATCATAATCTTTTTTTGTTTTTTTGAGACAGGGTTTCTCTGTGTAGCTTTAGAGCCTATCCTGGAACTCATTCTGTAGACCAGGCTGGCCTCAAACTCAGAGAGATCTGCCTGCTTCTGTATCCTGAGTGCTGGGAATCAAAGACACGTGCTACCACCACCCAGCTCTAATTTTTTTTTTTTTTTGATGTAACATTTTTTTGTGTTTTTTGAGGCAGGGTCACACGTAGCCCAGGTTATACTCTCTGCAGGTAATGATGACCTGGACTCCTGATCCTCTTGCCTCTAATAACAAGCATGTACCAATACCCGGCTGTAAAAAATATATGTCCCTTATAGTTGAAAAGTAAAGAGAGAGCTCAGTGGCTAAGAGTGTTCACTGTGCAGCCAGGAGTACCAGAGTCCCTCACCCATGTAGCAAGCTGGGAATCTTACAGATGCTTGTAACTCCAGCTTCAAGGTCTGTGACACCCTCTTGCCTGTGTACATGAACACAAACACATACATAAATAGTTTTCAGAATAAATCTTCAAAGAGAGAAAAATATTAAGAGAAGTAATAGTTTTCTAGCCAAGAAGAATGTGATGATATCAAGTATTTAACTATATTTAAATCGTATTTTAAGGAGGTTCTGTCTCATCAAGCTGACTCTTTCATATGACTTTATAATATGAAAGTGCTGTCGTCTCACCATGCTCTTGTGGTTTTGTTTCTCTGACTCTCAGGAAGAAGCGAGGAGGCATTTCAACTGTCCAGTTCTAGAGGGGATGGAGCTTGAAAATCAAGGCGGGATGGGCACTGAGCTCAACCACTGGGAGAAGCGGTTGCTGGAGGTCTGTTCAGTCCTGCTCAATGTTTATTTTTACTAACGTAACTCGTGCACATGGTTCAGTTCTGTATAATGTGTTTCTATACAAACACTTGTTTATATAGAGAGAATCTGGACGCTGAATGAATTTACTAGAGTAAATCCAACTAAAGTAATTCTAAAATTACTTTAAAATGGAGATTATTCAAACAGGAATAAGAAGGTAAAACATTAGTAGCGTAGACTACTAATGTGTGTACTTGGAGCTCCTAATGTTTGGTTTTTGAGACAGGGTTTCTCTGTGGCTTTGGAGGCTGTCCTGGAACTAGCCCTTGTAGACCAGGCTGATTCCAAACTCACAGAGATCCACCTGCCTCTGCCTCCTGAGTGCTGTGATCAAAGGTGTGCACCACCACCACCCAACACACATTATATTTTAAATAATATTTTCTTTTTATTTTAAGACAATGTCTTCCTATATAGTCCAGGCTGGCCTTGAACTTAAAGCAGTACCCTTTCTTCTGCCTCTGGACTTTGAACACTAGGATTGCAGATGTATACACCATAGCAGACTAAAAAACTGTTGTGATTTTGCTTTTGTAGTACTGGGCATTTAACTCATAGTTTTGTGCATGCTTGGCAATTGTGTTATTTCTGAGATGTATCTCTACTCCTAAATTTTCATAATTTAAAAATAAAATGTAAGCTGGGCATGGCGGGGGGGGGGGGGGGGGCGGGGGGGGGGGGGGGCCTGGCTTTAGTTCTAGCACTTTAGGAGGCAGAGGCAGGTGGAGCTCTGTGAGTTTGAGGCCAGCCTGGTCTATATAATGAGTTGCAGGCCAGCCAGAGCTACACAGTGAGAAGGTGTCTCAAAAAAAGATGTGATGAGCAACTGCAGTGCATCCCTCCAGGGTGGGGGAATAGTGGACATTCTTAGTTCAACTGAACAATCACACTCTCAGGCCCTCACCAGGCCCTGCTGGGGCAGTTCCATAGAAGGATATTAGCACACAGCATGCCAGCACAGCCTGGCTGTCAGCATGCCTGTCTCCCTCATCTGCAGTACAGGAACTCAAAACTCCTCCCCGGATATAAGATATGGTTTGGCTTAAGAGTTCTGTGACCCAAATAGGAGCTATTATCTTTTTAGTGGTTCCATAAGGAACACTCCCAATAGTTACTTTACACAATGACATCTCAAACTGTTACTTCCTAATAGGTATTCATGTTCATTTATAGTTCTCCCAAATCCAGAGGTGCATCAGCAGGCCTTTCCCCTTATGTATTATTGCCAGCTAATGTCCTATCTTTATTAGGTTTCAGGGGAATAGAGCCAGAAAGTTAATCCCAGATCACATTCATTTATATAGAAAGAATCTGGAGTTAGAATTCAGACTCTGAAGTGAGATGCCTTGGTTAGAAAGTGTATTTCTTCTTCGAGATCTGTTTGGATAGTTGCCGTAAATAGAGCTCATGACTGAAGGTCATCAGCTTGGGAAGAATGAATTTCTGCTTGTGCTCAATTACTGTGATCTAGGTCACCAAAGAGCAGCAATGGCAAGCATTTATGAAAGCACATACCCTCACTCTTCCCATGGGAATGTCTGTCCTTATATTTATTTTCCTTAAGGAATTTCCTTAAGTGATTTCCTTGGAAGCTGGCCAGAAATGAAATTTTATGTATTTTTCAGTAGAAGACCTGAGAATATCAATTTTATTAGCTTCTTTGTTTCTCTTAGATGAGTATTGTTTCCAAGGACTGTTGTATTAAATGTTAAGGTATGGGCAAAGAACACTCAGTGTCATGAAGAGACTCAGAGAACACTGGAGTGGCCCAGCCAGCCTGGAACCTTCACCAGGATGTGGCTTCCTTGTAGGAATCCTGGGATGTAAATTAAAGTACTGGACAACTAGGTATTTTGCCTGATCCTTTGATCCCCTGGTTCTGCCATGCTTTTTGCACATTAGTGTAGGTGTCTATGATCACAACATAGTAAAGTGTTTTCTTTGCAAACCATGTAAACATCCCTCCTGACCACCTGCCCCCAACACTCCCTTAGGAAGAGTGAACCGTTCTCAGTAGGCTCCTCACTACATGGATGCTTATGTTTATTCTGTCATCAGAAAGTCTTCACTGTTGGTTGTCCTCAATGCGGGGAAATCATACATGATGGAGACTCGAGGCAGAGAGTAGAGTCTATTCCTTCTATCAAGATGCCTTAAAATCTTTTATATTTGCACATTTTCTAGTCAATATTTGCCCACATGAAACATCTTAAATATGCATAGGGGTCATAGAAAAGCCATCTAATAAATAAAATCTGTTGGTAATTTTCAGAATGAAGCAATGACTGGTTCTCACACCCAGAACCGAGTCCTCTCTCGAATCACTCTGGCATTAATGGAGGACACTGGGTAAGACGGCTGTGAGAAAATGATGTTTATAAAATGAGTATTCAAAATATAGCTTAAGAAAATGCTGATATTCCAAAGCAAAATGTACTTACTGATTCTTTGATTTTTGTGCAGTTTGTTTTAATATAACAGAATGAATATAACAAAATCTCAGATACTATGAAGCCATGCTAATATGAAGGGAAAACTAACCTAGATAGTTTTAAATTATTTAATCAAATGAGTGATATATAAATTCCTAGAATTTTTGTTGTTGTTTTATTTTGTGTTTTGAGACAGGGTCTCACTGTGTGGTTCTTCTGGCCTGGAACTTTGTATGTAGACCAGCCTGGCCTCAAAGTCAGAGAGATCCTCCTGCCTCTGCCTCCCAACTGCTGGGATTAAGGTTAGTATCACCATTCCCGGCAGATTCCTAGTTTTTAAATGAATGGATCTCTCTGGTAAAAGAGTGAAATATTGTATTTAAATAAACCACTTTATGTAACTCCTACTTAACAAATCAGAGTAATTTTAGTGGGAGCATTATTGCCTCTTGCTTTTTCTAAAACAGCCTACAAGAAATTTGAAAATAGCATCAAATTTGAGAATCAGTGTTAAAAGTATTATTTTAAAAACCCTGAAAATAAACTGACTTTGTGATACTGACTGTAATCTTAATCCTCGTACTGCAGAAGCTGACGAAGGGTGATTGTGAGGTCACGTCTAGGCTGCATAGTAAAACTCTGCCTCAGAAATTTTTTTTTTTTTTTTTTTTTGGTTTTTCAAGAAAGGGTTTTTCTGTTTTTTTTTGGGGCCTTTCCTGGAACTCACTCTGTAGACCAGGCTGGCCTCGAACTTACAGAGATCCGCCTGCCTCTGCCTCCTGAGTGCTGGGATTAAAGATGTGCGCCACCAACGCCTGGCCAGAAATATTTTTATAAAAGCAAAAACAAACAAAAAACCCCACACACAACATGAAAATAACTTATATTGTCTTAACTTTTGAGGAATCAACAATGTATAAAGATTTAGGGGCTGGAGAGATGGCTGAGCAGTTAAGAATACTGCCTGCTCTTTCAGAGGAACCAAATTCAATTCCTAGCACCCACTTGGCAGCCCGCAACTGTCTGTGACTTCAGTTTGAAGGATCTGACACCCTCTTCTAGCCTCCTCAGACACTAGACACACGTATTATGCACAGACATGTATTCAGGCAAAGCATTCATACATATAAAATAAAATAAATAAAATTTTTAAAAATTAAGACTAAATTGAAAAAAAGAAGTTGTCTTAATTCCTTTTCAACCGCTGTGATAAAACTGCAAAACCAAGGAGTGTGTTTATTTTGGCTTGTGGATTCAGAGGGTTAAAGTGTGTGATGGCGGAGGAAGGAGCAGCTGAGAGCTCACATCCTGCTCACAGTCATGAGGCAGAAACAGCACTGGGAATCATGGGAATGTTTTGAAATCTCTAAGCGCCCCCACCCCAGTGACATACCTCCAACCAGACCACACTTAATCCTTCCCAAATCCTTGCCAACTGGGGACCAATTATTCAAATATATGAACCTATGGGGGCCATTCTCATTCAAATCACCACAGAAGTATAAAGATTTTAAAATACAGAGGTCATGACAAAATATAGAGGCCATAGCTGACCCTAGGAATAGTTTCAATAAAAATGAGAGGAGTGGGGTGCAGTGGCTTAATGGTAGTTAGTACACTTGCCTGGCATATTCAGGTCTCCATCCCCAACATAGACGCTCCCATTAAATGATGATAGTGATGATGATAATGATTATGATGAGATTAATAATTCCTCTCTTCTGTTTAATGAGAGCCGAAGATCTAGGTCAGAAAGGATTTGATTAAGACAGCTTTTTCCTAACAGTGCAAAATCAGTGAGATCTAGAAAACCAAGAACGAATTACCTTAATGAGAGAAAGAAGTCGACTCAGGTGGGAATTAGGCTTCCTGCCTGTTAATTCAGGGGGCAGGAGTGGGAGTGAAGATGCAGGCTGTTTTGTAGGTAAAGGCTGGATGTGGAAGAAATTCATAAATGTTGGTTTCCATGTCACTGGCATTCAGAAGTACATTCAACCCCAGGGGAGAGGAAGGCAGAAATTATATGTAAGTAGTTTAAATGATTCATGGGCATTGTTTTATGACACTCGACACAAATCTACTTTTTGTTGTTTTCTTTGTGGGATTTTTGTTAATGTTGTTGTTTTGGGGAGAAGGGGCGGGGTTCACTATCCCAGGCTAGCTTTGAACTGCTCCCCGTACCTCTGTCTTCCGAGTATTGGGATTACAGGTGTGTACCACAGGCAGCTCACCTGCCTTCTAATCTCCTTCTCCTGCTGGAAGAACACTAAGGAAAAATAGCAATCTTACACCCTGGGAGAGAGGGGGAGTCGCTGGTATCACTCTGAAAGTCATTATTAGCATTATTAGCATTAGTAAAATTTGAAATAAAAAAGGTATATTCCATAAAGTGATAACAAATATTTAAGTTCATCTTGGGGGTATTCTTTTGAGTGTTTTATTATGAAATATACTAATATACACAAAATGCAGAGAAAACAATGCATATAAAACAGTGACTCTCCAGCCGGGTGTTGGTGGCGCACGCCTTTAATCCCAGCACTCAGGAGGCAGAGGCAGGGGGATCTCTGTGAGTTTGAGGCCAGCCAGAACTCGCCAGAGCGAGTGCCAGGATAGGCTCCAAAGCTACTCAGAGAAACCCTGTCTCGGGAAAAAAAAAAAAAAAACAGTGACTCATTCCTAAATCCTAGAATCAGCAATATGTTGTCTCTCATTTGTAACATTATCTTTATTATCTTGAAAGTTGCAATATTTTTTTAAATATTTATTTATTTATTATGTATACAGTATTTTGTCTGCATATATCCCTCCAGGCTAGAAGAGGGTACCAGATCTCATTTTGGATGGTTGTGAGCAACCATGTGGGTGCTGGGAATTGAACCCAGGTCCTCTGGAAGAACAGCCAGTGCTCTTAAACCTCTGAGCCATCTCTCCAGCCCAGAAAGTTGCAGATATTTTTCCTATACATTCAACTACAAGTTCCTTTAATATATGGACTCTTAAAAGGAACCATTAACAAAATTAAAAATTTCTTAATATTTTATAATATCTTGTTATAAAGGATTACATAACCATATAACCCTTTGTTTTTCTCCCTTTTTTGTTTGATAGATTTGTAGTTTTATTTATAAAGGTCTTTATAATATGTACATACACACATACATATATATGCATATTTATAGCTCTTAGTATTGGAGTTCAATGTGATATTTCAATACATGTGTTCTTCATCTACTGATAAATGCAGCTTCCATTTTCCAAGCATGTTTTCAAACCTTAGTAACTATTCTTTATTCAGTTATTTTTTGTTGTTTAAAAACTTTCTCTCTGAAATAGAGCATGCAGCACTTGTCTTTCTATGCCTGGCTTATTTCATGTGGCACACTATCTCCTGTTTACTTGCACATTCCTAATGATAATACACAGCTGTATTTCCTTTTCTGTTAACTTAATGAAATATCATGACAAAAGCAACTTAAAGTTTATCATGGTCATAATTTGAGAGTACATTGTGGCAGGGAAGCCTGTTTGTTTAAGATCTAAATATGGGGCCAGGCAGTGGTGGCCTTAAATCCAAGCAGAGGGAGGTGGAACTCTGTAAGTTCAAGGCCAGTCTGAGTCTGGTCTGCAAGAGCTGGTTCCAGGACAGCCAGGGCTACACAGAGAAACCCTGCCTCGAAAAACCAAAAAGAAAAGAAAAGAAAAAAAAGAAGATCTAAATATAATTCTGATTGGTTGGTACATCTCTTAGGTCTGTTGATCTAAACCTTTTATGCACATTGTACACAAGTATGCGGTTTCACTGGCATAGTACCTCACACCACAGGAAGCATCTTGACCAAAGTGTCAATGCTCAGGCATTGACAGAGACACCAAGACCTTCGACAGGAAAAGAATACCTTAACAAACCGTGCTGGGACCAGGTCAGAATTGAACAAGACCTAACTTACTAGCTGAAAAATACAACACTTGAAATAAATCAGATGTGAGTCTTTATGATACTGGATTAGGAAATGATTCTTAGATCTAACACCAAAAGCGCCAGTAACCAAAGAAGAAAAATAGAACATTTGGACATCAGAAAAATTTAAAAATTGTGCTTCAGAGAAAATTATCGAGAAAATAAAAAATACCTCACAGAATAAGAATATATGTTTGTAGGTCATTTATCGAGTGACTATACAATATCCAGAATATGTAGAGGGACAGTGAATGGCACAATAAGAAAAAGGCCATAGGGAAAAAGCCATAATTTAAAAAGAAATGCAAAGTTTAAAGAGTATTTCTTAGAAAAATATTCAGCGGCAAGTGAGCATATGCAAAGATGTATAACATCACATGTCGGGCTGGAGCTGTACAGATGGCTCAGAGGTTAAGAGCACCGACTGCTCTTACAGAGGTCCTAAGTTCAGTTCCCAGCTCACAACCATCCATTATGAGATCTGGTGCCCTCTTCTGGTGTGCAGATATACATGGATACATAATAAATAAAATCTAAAAACAAAACAAAAAAATCACATGTCATTAACAAACGACCAATTAAAAGTCTAATGGGACATGATTACACACACACAGCACTCTCAATACCACCAAATCCCAGCAAGGACACAGAGTAACAGAATTCATTGTTAGTAGGAAATGATTCAGCCACATTTGAAGATAGTTTGGTAATTGCTTATAAAGCCAAAGATGTTCTTACCATACAGCTAGCTCTGTGCCTTGATATTTACCCAATGAGTTGGAATTGTACACCTGCAACAAAAGCCTGCACACAGAAGCTCATATTGGCTGGATAAACAAGCTGTGATAGACCAGATAAGGAAGAATTATTTAACACTAAAATCAAAGGAGCTACAAACCATGAGAAAACATGAATACTAAGTGGAACAAGCCAATCTGTAAAGGCTTCACACTGCAAATCCAACTATATGATGAAGAGAGAAACTGTGGAGACAGTTTAAAGAAGGGTGGTTGCTGGGGTTGGTGCAGGAAGGAAAACAAATATGGAGAAGACTGGCTGGGGCACTAAACCCTGCTGTAGCATCTTATTGATAGATCCCTCCCCTCCCTCCCTCCCTTCATTTCTGCTTTCTTTTCTTGTAGTGCTGGAGATCAAACTTAGGGATTTTGTGCGTGCATGCTAAAACATACCTAAAAGAGTATGCAATACTAAGAGGGAACCCTGACGTGAACTATGGATTTTGGTAGTAATGGCATTCCTGTGTAGATTCACTGGTGTAACTAATATGTAACTTTGGTGAGGGACACTGTGAGTCTAGAAGTGGGGAGAATCTAGGAAGTCTTTGTACCCTCTACTCAGTTTTGCTAGTACTTTAAAACTGCCTCCCTGCACTAAAGTTTGAAAAAGAGAAAAAACAAACAAAAGAGATTCTGCTATACCACAATTGTGTGAGCCTTTAAAACATTATGTTAAGTGAAAAGATCCAGACTGACAGTGGTTTAGTGTTTATCAGGAATGGGAGCTGGGGAAGGGAACATGGTTTATATGGTGAGGGGGGTGGGGGGTGGGGGGGATGGAAGTTTCCTGAAATTAGATAGTTATGGCATGACCATGTGTGTATCCTAGACGTGTATGTGCTCATTATAAAGATTAATTTCATGTTATGTGGGTTTGGTCTCACTTTTTAAAAGCGCATAGAGACATAGAAGCCAAAGCTCTGAGTTCCAAGCAGTCACTTAACTGGTTTGCACCTTTGACTTTCCTCACTTATAAAGTGGAGGTAGCCGTGATCCTTATTCTATGGAGGTTTCTGAGGCTTAACCGAGCTACTAAATGGAAAGCCCTGGGACAGTGCCTTAGCGCATTGTCATTATCAACCAACTGTTGGAATTTTATATAAAACCCGAACCAAAGTCTCCTGAGAAAAGATTCACATTTACTGCGCACAGCACAGTCCTTCATTCTGTTGCTTTTGAAAGAAAGGAAGTCTCCTGGAATGCACTAAATGATTTGTAGCCCAGGAAGCCCTGGAAACAGTTTCCATAAAAGCCTCAGGTCCCCACATCAGCTTTACTTTTGCTGGTAATACACTTCTGGTAGTACTTTTTAATTGTCTTTTGTAAAACTCATTATTAGGGTACTTTGGTTTATCTGTCTTCCTTACTAGATTAGAATTTTTAAATATTTATTTGGGGTTTTGTTTGTTTATTTGAGACAGGGTGTCATTATGTAGCTCTGTCTGGCCTGAAACTCACTGTAGACTAGGCTAGCCTCAAATTCAGAGATCTGCCTCCCTCTGTCTCACCAGTGCTGGGACTAAACAGTGTACCACACACCCAACTTATTTTTATTTGTGTTTCTATGCTACATGTATGTAAGTACCCACAGAGGCCAGAAGGCTTTTGATCCCCTGAAGCTGGAGTCTGTGCTGGCTAAACTGCTTTTGATTAAAAAACTCTTTCTCACAGTCCTGTGCAGCAGCCTCCTGCAGCAAGGGCTTTACAATGTTCAGCTCCGGCTGTGGCCTGCAGGGTCCCTCTGAAATCACTGATCTGCCTATTGGGGAGATCTGCAGTAGGTGCTAAAGTTTGTAAAAGGCTCTTTCTTGCCATTGTTTCCACAGCTGGTACAAAGCAAATTACAGCATGGCAGAGAAACTCGACTGGGGCCGAGGAATGGGCTGTGAATTTGTCAGGAAGAGCTGTAAATTCTGGATTGATCAGCAGAGGCAAAAGTAAGAACATGTTTTCAAGTGTATCTTTGTGTAGTTCATTTCTGACCTGGGTTCTTTGTCCTGAGCATCAAATACCAGCTACTGTGTGTAGAAAATATTCTATGAGTTCTTCATAAAAATCTTAAGTAACTACAGGATTGTTTTGGATGACAAACTAGAAGAATCCACAGTGAGGTGGCCAGTGCCATGAAAATTGTTTTAATTGGTGTGTGTGTGTGTGTGTGTGTGTGTGTGTGTGTGTGTTGTAAGCTTTTTGCATGTTTCTCTCATTCTTACTGTTTTCTTCATAGAATTCACACATGAATATACAAACAAATGTTGATTTAGTATCTGGAAGCTGGACTAAGGATGTAGCTTAGTGGTAGAGTGCTTGCCTGGCATGTGCGAGGCCCTGGGTTCAATCCCCAGCCCTGAAAAATAAATCTTCTCTAGATTGGGGTTCTGAAACTGGATGTTTATGGTAATCACCTTCTCTCTTTGTTTCTTTCCAGAGATTTTTTTTTTAATTGGTCTTTTTTAACAATCTACTTAAATGACTCAGTAGAGTATTTGCCTAGCATGCATGAAATGCTGAGTTTGATCCCCAGTACCATATAAACTGGTGTGATAAAGTAAACATGTAATCCCACTACTCCAGAGGTTGTCTTCAGCTGCATAGCAGGTTCAGGCCAGGCTGGGTCCCTTTTGATCCCCTGATGTCATGTGTTGTTCTCATTCTGGCTTCTGCTCTTTGTGGCATATTTCCCTCTGCTTGTTCTGGTCGTCTCCTACTCTCTCCAGAGTCTTGAGCCATTTCATTAGAGGCATTTCTTCTTTCAATGTCCTTAACACTGCAACTTTCCTCTCTAGCAGACCCCACAACTACAATTTCAGTGTTCTGTAGCTTTCTTCTCATCTAGTTCAAAGTGTTTTGCCCCTTGAGTTTCTTTGACCTGTGGATTATTGACTAGTATGTTGCTTAGTTTTCAAAGGTGAGACATTTTTCATGTCATATTTTTGCTGTGGAAATCTAGTTTGATTCCATTATAGTAGAGGAAATACTCTGTATGATTTCAGTTTATCTGAGCGTATTGAGGGTTGCATTATGACTCAACAGGGTTTGTCTTGCTGTGTGTTCTCTGAGCAGTTGGAAAGAATGCATAGTCTGCTGTTGCTTGGTGGAACGTATGGCAAGACCATGATGTCTGTGGGTCCATGGTGTTAGCCCTTTACATCTTTTTGATTTCCCCCTTGCTTAGTCTCCTGATTGTTTTACATTTTTAAAATTAAAAATTAATTTTTAGCCGGGCGTTGGTGGTGCACACCTTTAATCCCAACACTCGGGAGGCAGAAGCAGGCGGATCTCTGTGAGTGTGAGGTCAGCCTGGTCTCCAGAGTGAGTTCCAGGATAGGCTCCAAAGCTACACAGAGAAACCCTGTCTCGAAAAAAAAAAAAATTATTTTTTTAAAAACTAATCTTTAAAAAAAATCATCTGTCTTTATTTCTGTGTGTGTCCATACTGTATGTAGGGAGAACTGTGCATGCCATGGCACATGTGTGGTTGTCAGAGGACAACTTTGTGGAGTTGGGACTCTCCTTCCACTTTTATGTGGGTTCCGGTGATTGAACTCAGACTACAGGACTAGCCTTCACCCACTGAGCCATCTGGCTGGTCCATTCTACAGTCGTTGAGAAAGTTCCCACCACCCTGGTTTTCTTCCTTTCTTTCTTTCTTCCTTTCTTTCTTTCTTTCTTTCTTTCTTTCTTTCTTTCTTTCTTTCTTTCTTTCTTAAGATTTTATTTGCTTCCATATATATCTGCACACCAAAAGAGGGCACTAGATCTCATTACAGATGGTTGTGAGCCACCATGTGGTTGCTGGGAATTGAACTCAGGACCTCTGGAAGAGCAGTCAGTGCTCTTAACCTCTGAGCCATCTCTCCATCTCCCTCCCTGAGTTTCTAACCCTGAAGTCCCTATCTAGTCTGTCCTCTTTGCTCTGTTTTTCCATGTCTTTCATTGTGTTAGTTCTACTATCTAGGAATTTCAGTTGTGCTTTAAATGAAGAAGAGAGAAAATGCATCTGTTCTGTCTTCCAGGGAATAGAAGTGAGACTTCATATTTTGTTAATTCAGATTATGGACCTACAGAACTGGATTTTACTGGTGTAGAAAAGGGTTAATATGATTTTCTTTAATAGGGTGTAATGAGCTTTCGGCATCAAGATGAGTCCTCCACATCTGTGCTCAGCATCCCCTCTACTCTGGGGAAAAATCTTGATAACCTGACATTTTACTATGAACTGTTAAACTCTGGGATCATAGCTGAAGAGATGGCCTCTATAATGGACCTCCATTCAACAGGCCATTGACATGGAAAATAACCTGACAGCAGTTTGCCTTCCTTGTGTGCAGGAGGCAGGTGCCGAGCCCATTCTGTGACACGCTCAGGAGTAACCCACTGCAGTTGACTTGCAGACAGGACCAGAGAGCCGTTGCTGTGTGTAACCTGCAGAGGTTTCCTAACCCTTTACCACCAGAGTACCAGGTAACACTTGTCCCCAGCACAGCTTTAGGAATCAACTTCTTCAAAAGTATCTCTGTTTTAATTAAGAGAGTAAGTCTCTTCCGTTTTTTACTGTGTAATTTCCTGGGAACCTGCAGATCCCTCATTTCTTCAGGGCTAACGTGCTGCTGAGCAGTCATGTAGTACTTAGTGTGCTTTGGGACAACAGCCAAGCAAGCCCCAGGATCCTGCCCCATCTCCCCAGCAGTGGGTTACAGGGCTGCCCCATGCCCCGCTGTTGAGGGTCAAATGTGAGTCCTCACACTTGACAGAAAATGCTGCAGCCACCAAGTCAACTCCTCAGCTTCTGTTTGATCTTTTTCTTCCTAATCATTGATAACATCTCCTTTAAATTTCTCTAATTTATTCAGAAAACAAAACTCTTGAAAGAAAATACTTTAGTTACTCTAATCTAGCTAACTAGAAGATGTGGAAGTTGTGCTTTAAAAATGATTTGATTTCTGGGATCTAAAAGATGAACAGGGGATGGAGAGATGGCTCTTGTGGGAGGACCTGGGTACCATTCCCAGCACCCACCTGTCAGCTCACAACTGTCTGTAGCTCCACTGCCAGGGCATCCGGCAGACTTTTCTGGCCTCCAGGGACACCCTGCACACACATAGCACACTTACTTACATGCAAGAAAAACACTTAAACACATAAAAATTGAAGTAAATCAATCTTTTCTAAAAATAAATGGTAGCTGGGCGTTGGTGGCGCACTTGAGAGGCAGAAGCACGGATCTCTGTGAGTTCGAGACCACCCTGGTCTACAAGAGCTAGTTCCAGGACAGCTTCCAAAGCCACAGAGAAACCCTGTCTTGAAAAACCAATAAATAAATAAATAAATAAATAAATAAATAAATAAATGGTAAATAAAATGGCTGCCCGTGTCCAGCTTGAGTCTGACTGATTTTAATTTCCTCTTCTGGATCCAGGTGTGGCGCTCACAGGATTAAGACCCTGTCAAAAACATCAGCAAAGCAAGTTCCTATTCTTAGTCTTTCAAGTCCCTTAGCTGCATCTGCCACTCACAAAGGAACCTATTGTCACGCGTGTCTCAGAAGCTAATGGCAATGATGTCTGCCCAGGTGTGAGGTTCCAGCATGGACTGGACCTCACTGAGTACATCAGACTCCATCAGATGGCAAAGGAATTTGTAGGGATAGTCTCACAGTATGTTGGTGTAAAATGTGATTCTTTTTTTTCCAGACAGGGTGCCATGTGCCCTGGCTGTCCTCTAAGTAGTTCTCCTGGCTTGTTTTCCCACCTGTTGGGATTTAAAGGCATGTGCCACTTCCTGGCACAATGAATTTACTTGGTTCCTTGCTTCTTTGGTATTCAAACTATTTTATGTAAATAGCTTTATTTTTTTTAAGTTTTTTTTTTCCTAAAATGACTTAGACAATTCCTGTTTTAAAATGTTTGCTGTATTGCTTGGATGGCTTCAGACTCCTGGGCCCCCGTAGTCCTCATGTCTCAGCCGCCACATAAGGGGGCTGGGGTTTACAGCACAGTCCATTGTACTTAGTATTTTATATTAAAAATGTCTTCATTTTATGCATTAGTTTTATGTTATATCAGCCCTTTTCTCTTACTGTTTTTTTGTGGTGTTTGTTTGTAAGTGAGGGTCTCACTATGTAGTTCTGACTGGCCTGGAATTCACTTCTTAGACCACAGATCCACCTGCCTCTGCCTCCTAAGTGCTGGGATTAAAGGAGTGTGCCACCATGTCTAGCTCTGTCTCACTGTCTTTTGGGGTTTTGTTTTATTTTTTGCTATATGTATATCTTTAGCGTTTTTTAAAGACAAAGGCAGATGTGCATGTGTAGTTGCCTGTGGTCTTGTTTTGAGTTCACAGAGTGACTCTTGTTCTTCTCCCCTCTTGTGATTCGATCACAGTACTTTGACGAGCTCAGTGGAGTATCTGCAGAGGATTTACCTTACTATGGTGGGTCAGTAGAAATTGCCGACTACTGCCCTTTCAGTCAGGAATTCAGCTGGCATTTAAGTGGCGAATACCAGCGAAGCTCCGACTGTAGAATACTGGAAAATCAACCAGGTTAGTAGTCAAGTGAAATGAATGGTTAAGTGCCTCATACAATTTTATGTTACCTATATAAAATAGTTGCTAAGAAAACAGCTCGTGTAGCTAGATGACCTTGAGTTTGTGTTTCAACTCCTCTATTGTCTGTCTATATATAATTACTCAACTTTTGTGTTACTTGCTTTCTCTGCCCATATATTACTTACCTCATAACTTATTACAAAAATTAAATGGAAGCTAGAGAGATGACTCAGCAGTTAAGACCACCTACTTTTCTTGCAGAGGAGCAGAGTTCACTTTCTATGTCCTGTTAGCAGCTCACACCTGTTTGTCACTCTGTCTCCAGGCAATCTTATACCTGATTCTGAACTTCACAGGCTCCTGCACTTCCATTCATATACCCACACACAGATACACATACTTTAAAATAATAAAAATAAATCTTTAAGGGGGCTGGAGAGATGGCTCAGAGGTTAAGAGCATTGACTGGTCTTCCAGAGGTCTTGAGTTCAATTCCTGGCAACCACATGGTGGCTCACAACCATCCATTATGAAATCTGGTGCCCACTTCTGGTGTGCAGATATATACATGGAAGCAGCATGTTGTATACATAATAAATAAGTAAAATTTAAAAATAAATAAATAAATCTTTAAGAACAGCAAGAAGAAACGAAGTAGTTAGTGCTTAGAACTCTGCCTGATGCATAGAAAGGATTGCAGACTGCTGGATACGAAGATACACGCATGTGTACACCTTGCGTCTGCCTTGTTGGAAACACTTCATTGCCTACTGTTTCATCTCCTGAAATCCCTATGGGAGACTTAAGGAAGACGTCATGTTTTCCCAATGCATGAACAGACCCTACGTGATACAGTCCATTCGTGGGAAGATCCCATAGGGCTCCTCCTCGTTTATTGGAGTTCTTTAGGGAACCTGTTTCTCCCTGTGATTGCTTCAGATTTCCCAATAATACTGTGTCCCACAGCCAAAAAAAGATGGTGCCATATTATCTATTTCCTTTAAATACATAAAAAACAAGACAGAAAAGCAATAAATAGTATGATCATTATACTTCATACTAACCAAGTACCTAAACAAATATTCTCAAATATGATGTTTAATAAAAAGCAGTAATTAGCTATTCGTGGTGGCTTGTGCTTATAATCTTAGCACCTAGAAAGATGGGGCAAGAAGATTAGAGAGCTTAAGGTCACCATGGCGACAGAGTAAGACCCTGTCTCAAAAAGCAAAGGCAGAGATGGCTCAGTGGTTAAGAGCCCTGGCTGCTTTTCCACAGAGCCTGGGTTCGGTTCCCAGAACCCAGATGAGAGCTCACAACTGTCTGAAACTCCTATTCCAGGGGATCAGACACCCACTTTTGGCCTCTTAGGTACCAGGCAGGCATGCTCTTGGTGCACAGACATACATGAAACCAAAACACCCATACACAGAAAATAATAAAATACATATATATCTTTTAAAGCAAGGGGGACAAACATCAATTGTTTTTTCCATCTTTTTTCAAAAATTTTAACTTGGTCTTCCCCTCTTTTCATCTTGTTCCTACTGTATTACAGATTAGTAAACCATAGACTTCTGTGATATTTTTTTATCATTCATTCTTTTTCTTTCTTTTTGGAATAGTCTCTTGAACATAAAGGGCTTGACAGTAATAGAATACAAACCACAGCTGCTGCTTATGCCTCAGCCTGGCACACTTAACTGGATCTCTGGTCACTTTTGCTCTCACTCACCTATTGCAGACACATCCCAAACACTAATGATGGAACGACTCAGCGGTGCCTTGCTGAGGTGAAAGAAATGCACAGATCTGTCCATGAGGATTTGCTAGAAAGATCACAGTATTGTTTTAGAGTTAGGCTCAACACTACTTTTTAAAAGTACAAATATTCTAGGCTTTGCAACTGTGCTTTGCCCTCTATAGTGTGAAAGTTTACAGAGAATATGAAATGAGTGGGGGTCTCTGGTTTAGCTTGAGGATTGTAGTTTGCTGATAACTACTTAAACCTCCTACTTTGAAAAACATGAAACTTGGACTGGCAAATTGATTCAGCAGGTAAAGGCCCTTGCTGTTCAAGCCTGGGGACTTAAGGTTGATTCCTGGGACCCACATAAAAGTGGAAGGAGAGAAGTGCACAGTCGTCCTCTGACCTTCACACGTGCACCTTGCCAGCCCCAGGCTGTGCACACATGTGTGCACACACAAATAATAAGTAAGTGAAAACTGCCATGAACCTTGTGTGGACTGTAAGAGAACACGTTGTAACTAGAATCGGAGGACCTTGTCTCTCTGCCTCCATTCACCACATACCCGAAGCTGTGTGCTTTAGTCTCCAACTGCCGAATGATTTTCCACAAGGTGTGGGAGTTAGAGGCAGTTAGACCACAAGTTCTGGATCCAGCCTGAACTACATAGGAAAACATTGTCTTCCAAATCCAAACAACAAAATATTATAACACCTGCCCTGAGTCACATGAAAGGATACCTTATTTATAGGCCGTTACCAAAAGTGGTTCTTGTTTGGTATCTAATAATGTGATTTTTTTTTTTTTTAAGTGCCAGGTCCTCTATATAATTAATCTCCATACTTAGGGTCCACATAATTTCATTTCCGGTTTAGTAATTCTCTCATACTGGTTCTTTTCTGAAAAGTCAGTTGAGTTTGGAGTCTTATTTATCTTTTTTTTTTTTATTTGAAATTTTCCATTCAGCAAATTTTATTTGTTTACGTGTTTTTGTTTGGGGAGACAGTTTCCCTCTGAGACTCACAGCAGTTCTCCTGCTTTGCCTTTCAAGACCTGGGATTGCAGATGTGAGCCATGGGCCTGCCTCAAGTACATTTTTAAACTGCTGCTGTTGTGAAGACAGAGTCTCTGTAACCCAGGCTGGCCCCAAGTTTGCTATCCTCCTGTCTTTTTGTCCCCAGAACAACTTTTAATCATGAAAATAGAATGCCTCATTTCTTATTCTTTGCACTAACGGTCAGTATGTGAGAAGACTCTTTGGATTTGTTTTAGAAATGTTTAAAAACTACGGTGCAGAGAAGTATGGCCCCCACTCGGTCTGTCTGCTTCAGAAATCGGCCTTTGTCATGGAACAGTGCGAGAGGAAGCTCAGTTACCCAGACTGGGGGAGTGGATGCTACCAGGTAAACCATGAGTTCAGTCACTGCTCCAAATATTAAATGTATATCAGATTATAATTGATATTACTTATATAGATGATTTGCAGATCATTACTTTCACTTACTTTGGTTTTGTAATTGTTAGTTTGAGTGCTGTGGTTTGAGGAAATGCTGTCATTTATCTGTGAGAAATTGCTTTTAACTGCCGTCTATTTGGAATATATATAACTTGAGCTAGGCAGGCAAGTTGTGCATATTTTCATTCCCAGCACTTGGGCGGCAGAGGCAGGCTGGATTTTTTTTTTTTTTTTTTTAAACAAAGTCTCTATGTAACCCTGACTATCCTGGAACTTGCTATGTAAACCAGACTGGCCTAGCAATAACCTTGAATTCCTAGTCCTCCTGCCTTCAAGTGCTGGATTATAGGTATATATCACCACTCCTGGCTGTGAACGTGATGCTCTTTAAATTACATACAACTAGATTGGGTAAAACTTGTCTTCTTCCAAAACTGCAGTACCACATATTGTTTCTCTATCAAACACACAACACAAGCATAAAGAACAACTAAATAGCTAAGAATCCAGTGTGGTGCCTCTGGGAAGGCACAGGTACTGAGAACTCTCTGTCCTCCCACTGGTAATTGGGACAGATGGTTTTTAGTGTTTACACGACCCCGATGTTGTCAATGATGAACCATGTGGCGCCCATTCATCCAAGGCTCTTACTAACTTCGTTTTTCTCCCCTGTTTGAAGGTTTCCTGTTCTCCTCAAGGTCTGAAGGTTTGGGTTCAAGATACTTCATATCTGTGCAGCCGGGCTGGGCAGGTCCTGCCTGTCCGCATTCAGATGAACGGCTGGATTCACAATGGAAACCTGCTGTGCCCTTCCTGCTGGGACTTCTGTGAGCAGTGTCCACCGGAAACTGACCCTCCAGCTGCTAACCTGACTCGAGCCCTTCCTCTGGGTGAGTACTCTCCACAATTGGAGGAGTGAGGGAACGTAAAGGGCTGCTCCTTACAAGATATTGACGGGCTCTGGAGCAGGCCAGGCTCCTTTCCCTCTGCTTGAGGTTCTCTAGGAAAACCCTGCTACCTGCTGTTATTAGACAAGTCTAGTCAAGGCTGTGAGATGATGTTTCTACCCCAGGAGCATGACAGAGGCAGCAGTGATCACAAACACTCAACTCCCTGCCCTTCAGCCCAGTGGCCCTTACACTCTCTTCTGCTCCCTCTTAGTAGGGAGCAGAGGAAACCCTGAGTGAGTTAGTGTTGACGTGGGCCCACCCATGTCAAGGACTCCAGTGCCTCGGCCCTATAGGAGTGGCAAAGACTCAGAATGATGGCAGAGCCTTCCTCCAGAATCCAGGTGGGAAAGATTAAAATATAAAAGGTAGCAACTGCGGGCTGGAGAGATGGCTCAGAGGTTAAGAGCACCGACTGCTCTTCCAGAGGTCCTGAGTTCAATTCCCAGCGACCACATGGTAGTTCACAACCATCTGTCATGAGATCTGGTGCCCTCTTCTGGTGTGCAGATACAACTGCAGCTTCCTTCTCCTGGATGTTTAAAGCCTGAGATGGCTCTTCCACAGAGACTTCTACACACACTAGGTAGCCCCCCCTCCTTCTGGACTGTACATAGCAAATACACTGAGGTTCCAGGTTGTCTCAGTAGTGACCCCAGCTTTCCAGTGTACATCTGTTGTGTCTGTCTTTTCTGTAGTGGGTGGCTTTTCTTCATTTCCCTCACTGCCCCTGGTCAGGTCAAGTCCCACTGCACTGGACACAGCTTCTCTTTATGTATCAGTTGCTGATGTGCTCAAGTGCCTTGGCTTCCTGTGTTTGTCACTATGTGTGAATAGCACACACAGAATTTTAACTGGCCACCTATTAAACTGTGCCGGCAACTCTCACATATGCTTGCTCTTTTACATAAGGTGTGTGTGTGTCTGTCTGTCTGTCTGTGTGTCTGTCTGTCTGTCTGTCTGTCTCCGTGTGTATCTGTCTCTGTGTGTCTCTCCGTGTATATGTCTCTGTGTGTCTCTGAGTGTATGTGTGTGTCTATGTGCTGCGTGTGGTTGTATATGTGTGTATGTGTGCATGTATGTCTGTGGGGTGGGTGTGTCCATCTTTCATTTTTTGAGACAATCTCATTTAGCTCATGCTGGCCCCAGACAGCAACTCCATCTGAAACTGAGGGTGCTTTTAACTTCCTTCTGTCTCCACCTTCCAAGAGCTGGGATTATCTGCCTGTGTTACCATTGCCATGCCTGCTTTATGCCATGCTGGTGATTGAACCTAGGCCTCATACAAGCTTGACAAGTACTCTACCAACTGAGCTGCATCCTCAGACTGAGTTGTCTCTCTCTCTCTCTCTCTCTCTCTCTCTCTCTCTCTTTCTCTCTCTCTCTCTCTCTCTCTCTCTATGACAGGGTGGCTCTGTGTAGCTTTGTAGACCAGGCTGGCCTCAAACTCACAGAGATCTGCTTGCCTCTGTTTCTCTTTAAAACAGTTATTAACTGCCTAATTTTATTTTTTTATTCATGTCATTAGTTTATTTACAATTTTATTTAGTAATAAGAGTTCAAGAGTTTAATCCAATTTTCAGATCACATCTCTTAAACAATCTTCATTCCGTTAGAGGGATGAATTAAATATCCTCATTTTTTGAGTAGTTGGTGCCTTACTATAAAGAAGGGAGCGGCAAATCCAGATCCAAAGTACACAGTCATCATAGCCAGTAACCGCCACTTGTTTTCCACTGAAAATGGCAAATTCTTTCCCGGGCCCTCCTCATAGTGGCTTCGAAGGACCTCTGGACACTCTGGCCCAACATGGCGCCCCAGGAGGCTCTGCGAGGCCCGCAGAGCTGGAAGGCAGAAGAAACTGCCCCCTACGTGCCTAATTTTAAAATGTGATATTTTCAGTGTACTTGCATGAGACATATAGTTAACCTACAGCAACACCTTTTTTTTTTATGCAGTGTTGACTTTATTTATTTTTATTTATTTATTTTAAGGTTTATTTATTATGTATACAGTGTTCTGTCTGTCTGTATGCTTGCAGACCTGAAGAGGGCACCAGATCTTATTATAGATGGTTGTGAGCCACCATGTGGTTGCTGGGAATTGAATTCAGGACCTCTGGAAGAGCAGTCAGTGCTCCTAACCTCTGAGCCATCTCTCCAGCCCCACAGCAACACCTTTTCAATGTAGCTGTCTTGTGAATTAGAGTATTTTAGTGTTGAGCTGCTAACATTAAAGCTGATATTTAACAGTGCATGTGGCACATTCCTACAATCCCAGCACTTGGGAGATGGATGCAGGAGGATCAAGAGTTCAAGTTATCCTCAACCACAACAGAGAGTGTGAGGCTTATCTTTACTGCGAGATACCCTGTTTCAAAAACAAATGAATGAACAAACATAAAACCTGCATAATACCCTGATATAAATTAGAGTGAATTTCATCTTGATTAATTTGACTTTTTTATTATTCCCATTTGGCTTGTTCATATAACCTTACAGAAGCAATATATTTCAGAATACTGAAATTCATTTTTTAATTTATTTTCAGACAGGGTCTCACCCTGTCACCCAGGATGGCCCAGAACTTTCTGTGTAGACCAGGTTGGCCTTACACTTATAAAGATCCTCTCCCCTCTGCCTGCCTCAGTGCTTAGATTACAGGAGTGCACACCACACCCTGCTCATAGAGGACTAGGGATTGAACACGTGGCCGAAGGCAGGTAGGGCAAGCACTCTTCTATTGAGCTGTAGCTCTAGACTCTCTGCCCCACTCTCTAAAGGTGGTCCTTGCTCCCCTTCTCTCAGGATTTAACTGGGATGATTTACTCACAAACATGCTGTTTTGTTTGCTTTCTACCCCTAGACCTCTGCTCCTGCTCTTCTAGCCTGGTGGTCACGCTTTGGCTCCTCCTAGGCAATCTGTTTCCTCTGCTGGCTGGATTTCTTCTGTGTGTGTGGCACTAGGAATGGAAAAGTGACTTCTCAAGACGACAGTTTTGGCATGTTCCCATGAACAAAGCACAAAACCTGGTGGAGTGCCCGCCCATGCAACGATGCAGATTACAGAGATGGCGTTCCTGACTCTGGCTTGGAAGTGCTGGCGGTAACAGGATTGTGAAGCATAGCTCCACAGCAGTCACTCCCCATCAGCCACACAGCCACCTCGGAGTTTGGAGAGGCATTGCAAGTGCCGAGGCTCCCTAGTTTATGGATATGCCATCTTCTGGCAGTGAGCTCTCCCTTAAGTGCAGGGCAGATGTAGGGATTGCCTTGGTCACACACCTCAGTGTTTATGTAACTGAAGCAGCTCCTGTGCACTGAGGTCACTCACAGAGCGGCTACTGCCCACTCCAGAGTTTAGGTTGAGGAGGCCATCCTCCAAGTCCAAAAATGGTCATTGGGATTTCAGATTTCCTGTCACCATTGCACGTGTTTTAAATGAACAACTGGACATGATACACTCAAGTCATCATACTGCTTTTCAGTTCTGCTTTGCTGTAGCTTATGACTTGACCATGTTCTTGCCAGCTGTGTGGCCCATTCACGACTGAGCTGTCACCATTGTGTTCTCAGCTCTGAGCCGTCCTCATCCGATTCAGTGTCCACTTGCATTTCTCATTAATTTCATGGCAACTTGAAAACCCGTGGGAAGAGTGTGAAGTACAGCACACAGTAAGAGCGTTGGAATCGTGTGGACAGAAGACAGCAAGGCTGTGTGTGCTTCAGGTAATATTTAGAACAACTGTAACCCATCAAAACCCAACTGATCCTTTCTGGCCTATGTAAATTCTAGGAGTTCAGACATGGACAGGCTGCAGTCACTTCCAAGTGGACAGAGCTGTTACAGAAGAACTGCTAATATCTGGACGTTATTTCATGAACAGGAAGAAAAACTCAAGTCAAAACAAGGTGATCTGAATTGCTTCCTAAGAGCCAAGTGTAGGTTTGGCATCCAGGCTGCCCACAGGGGCCCGCCCACCTGTGTCCTTTACCGAGCTGGAAGATTACCTTTGCTTTAAATGTCCACATGGACTCTGCGAAGCAGTCTGCTCTGCCGGAGCTTACCAACCTCTACTAACTCAATTTTGAAATTCTCTAGAGAGGAGTGATATCCTATTTTTTTCCCTAAAGATGATCAATTCTGTAGCCTTTAGGACCAGTGAGGTAGCTCAGAGAGTAAAGGCGCTTACCATCAAGCCTAATGTCCTGAGTCTGAAGCCTGGAGACCACATGGGAGTAGAAAGGGACTGATTGTTGAAAGTTCCTCTGACCCCCACACATGCACACGCTTGTGTAGGCAAGTAAATGAAAAACAGTTTCTAAAATGAGACGTGACATTTGGACACACTCCTCTATCCCCCCCCCTCGTCCCACTCTACACATAGTTATTGGGTGCTCTATTTAAGAATTTGTGCAGTGAAAGTTGAACATGGTGGCCTGTAATCCCAGTACTTGGGAATTAGAGACAGGAGGGAGGATCCCGAGTTCAAGTTCATCCTCAGCTACATAGGGAATTTGAATTTGAAGCTAGTATTGGCTGCATGAAACCCTTGTCTTGAGAATAGAGAAAAGAAAGAAATTATGTAAGTGAGCAAACACCATGGCACTAAGTAGTAACTCCAGTAACTATGGCACTGTAGAGAGATAGCAGGCTCAGAATATAGGAAAACTCACCCCCCATTTTTTTTTCAAAGGCAGAAATTTAAAATGTATACTTGCATGCAGTATAAGTTGGAGATATTCATCCTTGTGAAAAGCTAAGGGACCCAAACTCGGTCAGCTTCAGCTAAAGAGGAGTCAAGGCAGCACTCTGTATTTTTCCAGTATTCTGCATTCCTTAAATTGTACAAAGTCAGAAAAGTGAGTATGTTTTTAAAGAAATATACAATATGCTGGGCATGGTGGCACAATCTTTCAATCCCAGCACTAGGGAGGCAAAGGCTAGTGGATATCTGAGTGTAAGTCTAGCCTGGTCTACAAAGTAAGTTTTCCAGACCAGCTAGGGCTGCATAGAGAGATGAACCTGTCTAAATGGGGGGGGGGGATATACATTAAACTTTCATACCTATGATGATTGTGAATCATCCTACAAAATGTATAAAGAATTTCACCAAAAATAACAGTGGAGTATATTGAGAGTCAGTGATAGGTTTGATTACATTTTGACTGTTGTGCAGTAATGCCATTTAGGTAGTATTGTTTACAAGCATGGTGCTTTTTATACTTGAAATATATTTTTGCTTTATTTTTTAATTAATATAATTATATTTGCACTAATGACTTTCTGGAGAAAATGTTACAGATGACATTTTTTGTATATATATTTATTAAGCTTGGAATGTGATGTCCCAGAGTTTTCTCTGCACAAACATGAAACTTAACGCAGCCCATGTCAAGAAGCACTGAACTCCCAAGGGTTCTTAGCTTCGCTGCTTTGTCCCTTCCTCTTCAGTGAGGCTGGAGCCAAGGTCACTCATCACTGATCCCACATGGTATGCTTAGCAAGATTTAGATGGTCCCTCAGCCTGTAAGACAGTTTAAGAGGCTCATTGTCACTTTGAATAATAACTAAGAAAAGGAGTCTACAGTCTGAGATTCCAATGCAGAATTATCAATAGAATTCAGCTGTGAACTAGCCTCCTGCTAGTGTTCTGTGGCAGATTAGCCTTTTCACATCACAAGGACAAAACTAGTGGCCCATGGAGGGAACCAAGCAGGGTGCTCCATGGTGGAAGTGAGGTAGGGCAGGAAGGAGAGGGGGGACAGCTGATCAGGGGGCTGTAAACTGGAGTCCCTTCCTGAACCCGAAAGGTCAAGTGTTTATAAAAACTGACTACCTCAGTGTTCAGTTCAGGCAGGTCATTGTAAGTGTTTTAAGGTCCTAGGTGTCAAACTTACCAAGTGAATCGTCTCAGGTTTTCTCAGAATTTACAGGAAGGAAGCAAAGCCATGTGAGGAGGCTTGAGCATGGCAGGGAAGGAGCTGGGCAGAGTTTGTTAGTCTGTATGTCAACTCCTCTAATATATTCTGCCGAACACCCTTCCAGTAATCCTAACATTTTTCCTATAGGATTCTTATATTTCTAAGACCAAATGGGCATCCTAAAAGTGCTATAAATTGTGCTTAGCATTAGTTTTCTGCCTAGGTCGGCCTAGAGTTTATAGAGATTTGAAGATATAACATAATTGTATGGGTTGTAAATAGTTTTAGGAAGATACATAAGTAATTACATCAGAGTATTCCATGAAATGGTAACGTTTCTTCAATATTAGACTTACAGACAGAACCCTGCATGGTGGTCATGCTTATCATCCCAGCATGGGGGAGATAGAGGTAAGAGGATTATGATTTTAAGACCAGTCTGGGCTATAAAGAGAGACACAGTCTCACTTCTGCTGTCCCCCGAAAAAAGAAAATTTCCCGATTGCGGCCATACATAAAGCAGTTGGATGGTTGGTCCTGATCTTTACTCTCTAAAGCCTCATAACTTACACTTGACGAGGACTAGGTCACTGCTGGCCCTGCTCAGCCTCCTGGAGTCTCCAGCCTAGATGCTGTGTTCCATGCCTTGCCCAGCTGTGGACTTAGGGCCAGATGAACAGAAAAGAGCCAGGCTCTGAAGACAGCTGAGTGGCCCCAGCAAAGGGAGATGGATGTTGCTCATAGCCTCACAGCCAGCTTTGAGGTGGGCACTAGGTCTCCCTGCCATGACCTTTGTGACCTTTGCCCCCACCCAGGAGGTCTGAGCTGCTCATTCTGAAGTAAGGCCTGAACTGGAGAAAAGACAGTTTTCCTTTTTTACATTAGGTTGGAACTGGGGAGGGAATCCTTTTATGTTTACATTTGTAATAAGTAAAATAGACTTTAAAATTAGTCTTCATTTGTGGTGGTGAATTTTAAGTATAATATATTCCTTAGAAAAACATACTTAATAAAAATGGAAACTAACTTGAAGCTTATCTTTACCAAAATCCATTAACTTTTTTGTTGTTGCTTTGTTTTTTGTTTGTTTGTTTTTGAGACAGGGTCACACTATGTAGCCCTGGCTGTCCTGGAACTCGCTCTGTAGACCAGGCTGGCCTCCGACTCACAGAGATCCCCCTGCCTCTGCCTCCAGAGTGCAGGGATTAGAGGCGGGTGCCACAAAGCCCAACAACCATTAACTTTTAAAACCTGGATAAGAAACACAAATACAGTTGTGAACTCTTGGGGAAAGAGGAAGAGGTTACTGTGAAATAACATCCAATTTTACCTAAGTGTAAGTAAAGAAGTCCTGCTTCCAGAATGGGGACAGGCCATGTGTAAAGCTGCAGGAACAGCCTATGAAGAGTTAAGCTGGAAAGAGAGCAGGCCAGACTCATCCCCAGAACAGTGTGATCCCTGCCACAGCTCAGAGGCTTCACTTGGCCCTGTGACAAGCCTGTATGGTCCTGGAGAGTGACTTCCTGATAACCCCAATGTGAGTATGAGCAGACATCCTTCCTGCCATGGACCTGCCTTCCCAGGATACACTTGGAGCTATTCTGCTGTGACATGGAGCAACTGAGCAGATTAGTTATTGAATAGAGGTCTTTCTGGGGATTTCCTAATAATCTTTAGATTCTTTTTAGAGCTTTAACTACTTCATATATGGACCTAAAGCTACAAACAATAAGTTTAAGTGTTTAGATAAATCTAGTAGTATTTACTTAGCATGCTAACAATAGGTTTCATGTAGTGTCTCGTCTACATCTCCTTTTAGTATGGTCATAGACTAGCTCACTTAAGGAACCCTGTTACAGATATTAGTCTTTTTTTTTTTTTTCCACAGCCTTTCTCATGGATTCATGGATTCATGGATTTTGCTTTGTTTTGATAGGGTCTCATGTAGCCCAAGCTGGCCTACTTCTTATCCTCCTGTCTCCATCTCTTTTTTTTTTTTTTTTTTTAAGATTTATTATGTATAGTGTTCTGCCTGCATGTTTGCTTGCAGGCCAAAAGAGGGCACCAGATCTCATTATAGATGGTTGTGAGCCACCATGTGGTTGCTGGGAATTGAACCCAGGACTTTTAGAAGACCAACCAGTGCTTTTAACCTCTGAGCCATCTCTCCAGCCCTGTCTCCACCTCTTAAGTGCTGGGATTATAGACAGAATAAGGAACCAGGGAAATGGCTTATTCAGTAAAGCACTCACCATATAAGCAGGTACCCAACACCTACATAAAATATCAAGCATGGCGTCACAAACTTGTATCCCCAGTGTTGGGAAGGCGGGGACAGGAGGAGGATCTCGGGATCACTGGCCCGGGCTACTCTAGCTAACTGGGGAGACTCAGAAATAAGTGGGCAGCTAGAAAGCTAGTTCAGAGAGTAAGAGCACTACTGCTCATGTGGAGGACCAGGCTCACTACCCAGCACCTCAGTTAAGTGGGAGGGGTACCCTCAAAGCTGTCTATAACTCCAGTTCCAGGGAATCCAAAGCCCTTTCTGGTCTTAGAGGGTACCTGCACTCACACGATGCATGTATGTTAAACTCACACACAAAAAATGGGAGATATACTGGAAGAAGCTTGACATCTACCTCTGGCCTCCAAATGCATGTACACAGACACAAACACATACACTCATATTCATCGTACACAATGTTCAGCTAGGTGGCCCACACCTATAATCTCAGTGCTTAGGAGGCTGTGGTAGAGATGCCACAATTCAAGGCAGTCATGCAGTACAAAGTAAGACCTTGTCTCCAAAAGTAAGAAGTTGCAGAATAACCAGGCAGTGGTAGCACACCAGTACTTGGGAGATAGAGGCAAGTGGATCTCTGTGAATTTGAGGCTAGCCTGGGCTACAGAGTGAGTTCCGGGACAGCCAAAGCTGGACAGAGAAACCCAGGCTCAAAAAAACAAAAATTGCAGAATAAATCAAGTGTTTTAAATATGTGATCTGGGGCCCTCAAGATGGCTTAGTGGTTTGCTGCCAAGCCTAACCACCTATGTTCAAATTCCAGGAGCCACATGGTAGAAGGGGGGACCAACACCTTCCATGTGTCCCCTGACCTCCACATGCACACTGGGGTGTGCCCCTCCCCACAGTAAATAAAAAATATAAAAACTTTAACTATGTGGTCTGGTGTTCTATAGATGGCCTTTTCATTTTATATATGTAGAAATACTTTCTGTCTATATTTGATATAATTTTTCATGTGTATATGCACATGCTTATGGGTATCCTTGCAGACAAGGAAAGGTTGGATCCCCTAAAAGTGAAGTTCAGGTTGTTCACACCACCTGACCAGTGTTCTGGGGGAGCTCTGGTTCTCTGGAAGAACAGCAAGCACTCTTAACCACCTAGCTATCTGTCCAGCTCCCTTCTGACTTTATATATTGGGATTATACTTTATACTGTAGATTCAATATATATCAGCACTCAGTGTCACCAAACCACATCATTTTTCAGTTTCAACAGACATTAAAGGCTCAACAGTTTTTGTTTGGTTGGTTTTTCGAGACGGGGTTTCTCTGTGTAGCTTTGGAGCCTATTCTGGCACTCGCTCTGTAGACCAGGCTGACCTCAAACTCACGGAGATCCGCCTGCCTCTGCTTCCCGAGTGCTGGAATTAAAGACATGCACCACCAACGCCTGACATCAACAGTTTTATGATACTGCCTTACTTAAAACTATCCAAATCATAGTATCCAAACAGTTCATCATTTACCCATCTTAGGTCTCTCCTACTGGCATTTCAGAAGTGCCATTCAGAAGGTTGAGGATGGGAGAGCAGACCCCACGTGCTCACACTCACTGGAATTCATGGGAAGATGATGCCGTATTTGAGGATGGGCAAACCCACACAGGTAGGTAACCACAAAGACTAGTGGGTGTGCCTGCCTCCTCAAAGCTGCCCAGTGGCTCCTAGAACCTGGACAACTGGGCACTCCTGACTTTGCCCAAGGGAAGGTATGGCTGACATTGGATGTGCCCGTTACACCGTTACTGTTCATAACTGGATGAGTGGCACTGTCAGGGAGCACTTCATCCGTGTGCTCAGTGTTTCCAGTTTAGGAATTGGTCAGGATGCAAACTCTAAGGACCCATCCCCAGCTTTCTTAGACTGGAAACTCATTTCCTTGCATATTAGGTTCTAATCTCTGTTTTCACAACTTGATTCTCTAAATGTGATGTCTTTATGAACTTATCCCTACTTTAAAAATGGTTCAGGGATTTGACGTCCATATTTCCTCATCTATTTCCAGTCTCCTAATACATGAGGATGTGATGAGATGTAATTAAGTAAGTGTGTAGCTATTTGCTTTCTCCCAATAGATTTAAGAAGGCTAAGGAGAGAAAGTCTGTGTAAGTGTTCCATAATGGTTGGGGATACAGTGTGGTCCTGATGAGGAGATCACTATAGACAGTGAGATGTCTATAGGCCACACCCTGTGCTGAAGCAGATGCCCTGCTTTCCCACTGATGGACTCAGTCTCAGGACTTAATCCTAGGAGCCAGTTTCCATAACGGGAGTTCTTGACAAGTTCCCTCTTAACTCACGCTCCCATAGCCACATCAGTGACTACACCACTTCCCCAAAGCGCCAGGGCTGATGGCTGAGCTGCTAGCATATTGGGCTTTGGGACCTTCAATGCAAACTGTAGCAGAGGCACCACATAGAAGAGACTGGAGCAGGCAGGCTGACTCAGAACAGAGAGAAGCAGCCACACCCAGAGTGTGGATCAGACTGCGCTTGCCTTGTGAGGTGAGACACTGAGAACAGAAAAGAGCTGGGCTGCTGCCTCCAGGAAAGTAACCTCTGTCTACGAGGAATGCGCGGTCTGAGATCTGACGAGTAGTGAATGGAGCTTTTGCAAAAGAGATAGTCTCCTGTGGTGACTGTTGACACAAAAACACAGCTCTTCCCTCAAAGGGAATAAAGTTTACTATGGAGCCATGTTTGAGTGACCATAGCCAGGGAAGGGAATTCAGATTACTCCCCAGCAGCATGTGGTACTGTGGTAAGAGTTTAATGAAGGTTCAGTACTGGCGAAAATCAAGTAGGCAGGTGATTACAGCAAAGGCTTCAGGTGACATTCTTAGCCTTTGGTTGGTGGAAGCCAAGGGATCTTATTTATACATCTGAAAAAGTTTTTCACCTGATAGTTATGGGATCATAGATCAAACAGAAGGTGCAGTAAATGGCTATTTAGGTTGTTAAAAACATCCCAAGGCTAATTTGGCTTCTGACTTAAAACATTCCAGTTCTCTACAAGTGCAAGTTTTCAATCCAGTCAATGGGTCTTGAAAGATATTAAACACAGCCACCCCCATCCCCCACCCCCCACTCCAGGGACTTGTGTTTGTACTCTTTTTTGGCTCTTGTTTTACACAGCAGTGTGTAAGTTCAAGACTTCTTTTCTTCCATATAGGCTCACTTTAGTGTGTCAGTGCATTTGTGTGTGTGTGTGTGTGAGAGAGAGAGAGACAGAGACAGAGAGAGAGAGAGAGAAACAGTAATCATTTGAAGGTCTGAGAACAACTTTTAGGAATTGGTTCTCATCATTTTCTATTATGTGTTCACAGCATTTTTATTCACTGAGCCATTTTGCTGGCCCTAAAACAGGTTTTTTGTTTTGTTTTGGTTTTGGCTTTTCGAGACAGGGTTTCTCTGTGGCTTTGGAAGCTGTCCTGGAACTAGCTCTCGTAGACCAGGCTGGTCTCGAACTCACAGAGATCTGCCTGCCTCTGCCTCTTGAGTGCTGGGATTAAAGGTGTGTGCCAACAACACCCGGCTTCTTTATTGTTTTCAATTTTGTTTGTTTGTTTTTTAAACTTTATTATGTGTCTTTGTGTGCAAGAGCATGCCATGGTATTCATGTGGAGGTCAAGAGTACAATTTTTGGGAGTCCTCTACTTCCACCAATTGTGGGTTTGGGGGACAGAATTAAGGTCACCAGGCTTGATGGCAAGGGTCCTTACCTGCTGATC